TTATCAACTTATTATTATAACATTAAAATAAATTTTTCTAAGTTTTTGTTGAATAAATATTTGAAATTACATCAAAAGTATAGATCCTTTAGAATAAAATAATTTTACAAAGGCAGAAGTTATATTATTTATACTTTTTATACTTAAATTAACATGTTTTATGGTTTATGAGTTTGTAAAACAAAAATAACTCAAAAACGAAAATAAAATTATAAAGCTTTCTATATAATTATCATTTTAAAAAGGAAATTAAATAGATTTTTAAGACATTGATTCATTATTTATAACTTAAAGAAAATTTTTCTTAATTAATATAAAATTCATATTTCAGCATATAATAAAATTTTAAACATTTATATTTTAAATAAAGTGATTCAAATTATTTAAAAAGCTTATTTTAAATGTTTATTAATAACAGTAAAAATAATTAAGATAAGTTTTCATTAAAACTTGGAAACTGATTTAAAGTTCAAACTCTTCTTCTTGTGTCGATTTTGGCCATCTTTGGACCACGTACAAACAACTAATTATGACTTGCTTTTCCCCTCTTCCCTTCATTCCTCTTCCTTTCTTCCCAAAATCTCTTCATTCTCTTGCTCTGGTATTGTCTTTGCTCCTGAGTGAAGATTCTTCCATGTCTGTTATTCTCCTTTTCTTCAAAACCCTTGAAGTTCTTTATTTTGTTTCTAAACCTTTCCCTGTTCTGGATATCTTCTTCAAATATGACCATTTCTGCCATGTCTTTTTAGGTGTCATTGATCCATTGATTCTTATTCTTTTGGTTGTTGAAATACGTAAAAATTTGTTTTGTTAGCCTATTTTCCCCCATTCTCTTTATATGTCCAAAGAAGCTTACTCACCTTCTCCGAATTGCATTCGAGAGTCTTGGGATTTTTTGATAGAGCTCTTTATTGCTCCTTAACATGTAGTTACCATGTTCATCTATTTTCGGCCCCAGAATTTTTTGAAGGATTTTTCTCTTGTTTTCCTCCATATTTTCTATTTCCTCCATTTTAAGAGTTCATTCCTCCATTCCTTCTGCTGCATAAAGTGCTTGAGGTTTTATCACTGTGTTATAATGTCTAATTCAAACTTTCTATATACAGTAATACCTTGACTTACGCTATCCCGACTTACATGAACCCGGGGTTACACGATTTTCAAATCTCGTCGATTCATCTTTTGAGCGCCACGCAACCCTTGATTACTCACTCCCCCCACACTATTGTTCAGTTTACATGTTCGGATGTGTCGCACGGAATCGACACATAGCTACAATTTATTTTGTGTTATTTATTTCTGTGTTTGTTATATCTATGGAGACTCGAGAGACTCTACTATGTCATCCAAACGAAGTAGAACTAATTCTTCTGCATCAAACAAGAAAAGAAAAACTTTATCTTTGGAATGTAAAGTTAACATTGGGTATGTTCGTAAAGTCGAACGAGTTAAACGAGAATGACGTCATCGTTATTCCTATTTCGTTAGACTTTTCGAACGATTCGTTACTAACGCGTTTAACTCGTTTGACTTTACGAACGTACCCATTATTAAAGACTTCGATACAAAAATGAAAATTTGTGAATTGGCAAAGAAGTTTGATCTACCGGAATTGTCGGTCAGAACAATTATAAAAGGCAAAGAAAAAATTCTCGAAGCTGTGAAAAATGCTCAATCTTTAAATTCAAGCATCATTCGTAAACGTCACAGTATTATCACTGAGATGGAAACAATGTTAAAATTATGGCGTAATAATCAAGTAAATGTGAAAAATTGTAAAATAATATAGGCCTAATTTGTTATACATATGTATTATCTAAGATTTTATTAAACATTTTTTCTAAATTATTGTTTTCTTTACTTTCAGGCCCCAATTAAAAATTATTTGTATGCATTTATATGCGAAATTATACCCCGACTTACGCGAATGACTTACGCGATTACTGCTTGGTCCCACCTATCGCAAGTTTGGGGTATTACTGTATATTAAAACAATAATAATTTATCATCGTAGAGATCAGTCATACAGAACATATACAGATGTAAAATATCAGATAGAAATATTATTGTCCGGGAGAACCTTCAGATATTTTGTAATAACTAAAATTTTGTTTAATGGTATCTATAATAATCAAAACAACTGTTATTTTTGCAATTAAACAAATTTTATTTTTAGATAATATATGAAATTATCATCATCATCTATTTCAACATTTTATAAGTCTAAAGACACAAATAGAACTGAGTAATTAAATAATCAAATATACTTTATAATTGTAATGGCTTAAAAATTCTTTAAAAATATTATAAATAACACATTAAAAGGAAAATTTTTCATAATTGTTTTTGTATATATTGTTTTTAATCATCAATAATGAAGAAGTATGTTAAAGTATAAAAATAAAAAGTAGATGAATAATCTAATCATCTTATGATTACTGAATTGTGATCTTTATAAAACCACCTTAAACCAGATAAAATATTTATTAAATTTACAATCTTTCAACTACTTGAAAAATCATTATCTGATACATTAACAGTTTAGAACAAAACAAAATAAAAAAAATAATAAATTTAAAATTTTATTTATAAAAACAAAACGGTTAATTTAAAGTTTTAAAATTCATTAAAAATTTATATTGTTTTTAACTGTAGGGAATCATCTCTTGTTAAACCATTGTATTTAAGCTCAACTGTTTCAAATCTTGAAATTTTCAATTTTCATTCATAAATCTGCACAATAAATTTAATTTATATAATACTTTAAATCAGTGTTTTTCAACCTTCTTGAATACGCAACCCCTTTACAAGTTAAAAAATTCTGGCGACCCCCCTCACGGCCATATTAAAACTATGTCAGTGATTTTAAAAACTACATATTTAATTTTCTTTCTGTTGAGATTTAAATATCGATCAAAAAACAAATTGTATTATAAACAGGCACAGATTTCTCACTGAAATTGTAGTTTTTTTATTGTAGTGTAGGACCTACAAACACTTGTCTTTTTCTTTTTCCCACGACCCCCCATGTATGACTTTGCGACCACTTTTATACTAGAACTTTGCTGCAACACACATGCTAATGCAAAAGAAGCTGAAGGTTGAAAAATACTGCTTTAAATAATAGGCAATGATAAAAAAAATGCTATAATAAAAAATAATATTGCATGACCTATAAACAGCATATAATCCAATTTTAAATGATCTTACTAAATAAAAATGAAATTGTATACTGTATATAATCATTTACAAAAAGTTTGCAAAGCCAATAGATTTCAATAGTATGTTTTTTAGTTTTAGAGGATACATTTTGAAAATATTTTTTGAACAGAATGTGAGGTAAAAATTTTTGTATTCTAATAAATATTTCAATGCAAATTTTCAGATAATTACTTCATATTAAGTCCATAACAATTAGACAAAGCTATACAGGGGATTTCATTGTTTTAAACTATCCTAATCTGATATAAACTTTATATATGGTGACATTTCAGGACATGCAGATGACATTTCCAAAACAAAACAAAAAAAAATGGTATAAAATTTACCACTATGGAATCTTTGACACTGCAAGTAATGAAAAATCAGCTTCTTTTGCATTAGCATGTGTGTTGCAGCAAAGTTCTAGTATAAAAGTGGTCTCAACTGTTGAAAGTCATTCTTACCAGTTACAGTTGACATCACCTTGCTAGAACATGCATTTCTTGTGAATTTCTTTTATAAAAAATAAGGCTATGGTTGCATTTCAGTAATTTATACGTCATAAGAATTTATATTAACAATCATTGACTCCATAAGCTTTCATTCAATTTAAAGAAGCTGGACATCTGAGAACTTAACCAATCAATTCCTAAGTCATTAAAAATAGCAGTCAATGAAAAATGTTGAAGACTCCAATAATGTATACACAATGTTACAGTAGTTGGGTATATCCTATGGTACAGTACAGTGTGGAAGATACAGAGAAAGTTAGTGTATTGTTATTGGTACAAAATCAGTCACAACCAGCAGTTGCTTATCATCAAGTAAAGCCAACTGATCTATGCATTGACTTTTGTTGGGGATTGAATGTGTTGTGATCATGGAAGATTTCAAAATTATTATTATTACTTACTTTCAGATATGATTATGTACTTGAATATGTGAAATTCTCCTGCAAATGTTTTGAAAAAAAAGAAAAAACTGTTTTGGAATATTTTAAATAAATTCAAGCTATTGATGAATCATTATTAGTTATTAAAATATAAATTTTCATCTACAAGTACGTATCTTCTAATATCAGGACTTATTATACTGGCTTTACAGATAATGCTACAGAGTTTCACAGAAAACAATTTTTTATTTTATTTAAACCTGAACACACATAATTTTGCATTTCGGACACATTTGTCCCTCCTCAGCAGAGTATATACTACAAAAATACCTGTAAAAAATAATATTGTAAACTGGTCTCGGGTCATTTTAAAAGCTATGTTTAGATCTTTCAGAAGATAAAATCTAAATCACAAGTTAAGTTTCAGTTTAGATTTTAATAATCCAGATTAATATTTCTTGCAGTTTTCATTTGTTTATATATTATAAAGGTCGAGTATGATGAGTTTAGAAATTTTTAAATATTTTAAATAATTGAGAATGATTTAATGCAAAATTTACAGCCATGTAATTATATAATTTAAAAAAAATTACAAGTTATTTTTAGATATTTTATGCATATACTGTATAAACATATAAGCCAGTGAGCTAAAAGTAACTTCCAAATTTTATAGATGATAAATGTGTTAATTACGAAAATCCAGTAAATATTTATTACCTTCAAGCAACATAAAGTTGCGACGAGGAAAGAAATACATCGCATTAAGTGTAATATTTAATAAATAGTACGGAAATTGAAACGAAGAAAAACATAAATCAAACCTTTAGAAAAGTAAATATCAAAGTTGATTCTTTAAATAGTAAAGAATACCTAAAAATGCACCGACATACGAGTGCAATATTATTACCCATCTTGTAGTGCCGCAAAAGCAGTAAATATCACAGCCAATATAAACCAAAATTCCCTGCCATATGTATTCATTACTTGAACGATCTGGGATGGGGAATCGCCACGTGCATCCTCAATTTTCCTTCCATCCTCATCGTCTGACTGACTGGAGGTCGCCATCATGACGTCACCGTCATCTTTTCTGTTTTATCTGTTCACCGCCAGAGTGCATAACTGCGTCGATTTAATTCGGGCCTTTTGAATAATATTGCATTGCTATCTTCTTCGAGCACTACTTAACTCCAAGAAAAAAATAAATCTATTTCTGATTAATATCTCGATTTATTTACTATCGTAACTTAACTGTAGAAAACAACGTGGATAAGATTATTCGTATAATCTTTTATGCTCTTTGGTAATCTGAAAAATTCGAAGGCCACGTGAATTTCGCGAGACGCTTTGCTCGGTAAAGCGGATTTAATTAATACAATTGTGTGAGCAAACCAATGACCAAACTCAGGATTTAATCTTCGGGAACCGATTTGAACGGATAGAAGAAATTTTTTATGTGAATTCGATAAAAATTCCCCTTACTTGACCGCTAATTCTTAAGTAATGTAGAAATAAAAGACATTATACAATATAAATAAAAAATATATTTCAATTAGGAAAAGATTTTAGGAAAATTTACTAATGATTTTCTTTTTCTTTTTACTTTACTTTCGTTTTACCAAAGTAAAACCAGCACACAGAAACTGATGTCAACCGAGTATAACCCAAGACAGATCTGGAGGATGGATAACGTATTTAATATACCTGTTCTCCTCTATTCTACTAGTGTTATGCCACATACACTACACAAAAATCTAGAAACATTAAACCTTAATAAAAACATACATGGCATTACGCTGCAATATTGAACATGTCTTTTTTTAAACTCTTTCCGCCCTGTGGGCACTAAGAGAGTCTCTTTTTGACAGGAACATTATGGGTTCGGCCAGGCCCACAATGGGGCTGCCGGGTGGTAAGGGACGGGGCCCGACATATCCGAACGGACCACTCCTCGAAAACTTCCTAGGGTTTTTTCGACCCGGGTCCCCCAGAGCGGTATGCTGTCATCATAACCGCTCGGCCATCCGGCCGTCATTGAACACGTGTCAGGAAGTTTCTAGATGTTGACACATATACCAATAACATAGAAGCTTAATGTAACACTTGTTTGGGTAGCTATACTTTGACTTTAGTCCGGTATAGCATTTGGCATGGTGGCACCATGTCAACATCTTATATTTTAAAATACTGTAACGACAACTTTAACTCATTATGTTCATGTAAACAGGCTTATATAGTTTAAATGAAATTTTTAAAATATTTTAATAAACTAAATATTATACACATTAATAAAGTCTACATCAAAATAGTAATGAAAACTTTCTTCTAACCTAGTAGATTATTTACTAAATTTAATATTTAGTAATAACGTTTATATAATATATATATAATTAAAATAACGATATAACGATATATAATTAAAGTATATATATTTTTTATATAACGATATATAACGATTTATATAACGATTTATATATATATATATATATTTGACGTTTATATAACGATATATAATTAAAATAACGTTTAAAAAAAAGAATAAATAAATTTTCCTTTGATTTTTAATTAATGAATAAATAAATAAACTTGATTATTTGGCATTTTAAAGTAACTATTGCTAATAAAAAAAATTCCATCTTATAGAAATTTACATAACGGATCATAATAAAAATTTATATGTTTTGAGATTATTTTTCAATATTTTATAACCATATTTATTATAACAATAATAGCTTTTATTAGATTCATAAGTTATATGTTAATAATTAAAATAACCAAGTGAACTAACTGTACATCTAAGTGAAAAATGGTATATTTTTAATGTTGAATGATATTTCAGAATGATGATAAATAACATTCTATAAATAAATCAGATCAATATTTGTAGTTTTATATTTACTCAAAATATAAAGTAATGTTTTAATAAAATTTGAAATATTTACAGCATAGAAAACTTTTATTTGGCTATTCAGAATAAAAATTATTTCATGGTTTAATTGAAAATTAATTTTTATCTGGAAAATAAACGAATAATTTCAGTTAAACTAAAAAACAGGAACAAAAAGAATAACTATATACAGTACTACCAAGTCTGAGATAATTTGGTTAGTTGATGTAATTACATACAGAAGAAACGACGCAAAATACCGCCACATTTTTAAGTATCCTGTACCCGAAATGAGAATAGTAATAAAATAAAGTACAGTGGAACCTCGCTTAACGAGCATAATTCGTTCCAGAATAGTACTCGTAATGCGAAACACTCGTTAAGCGAAACAATTTTTCCCATAGAAATTAATGTAAAATACAATAATGCATTCCACGCCTGAAAAAATACTCAAATATTTTATGAATAACGTTTATTCAAAGAAAATTGTACAATGTGCATTGTTAAGAAGCGGGAATCATTATCATATTTTTTTCTAGCGCGGAATGAATAAACCTGAAATGAGAATTCGATTTGCAGAAAACAAAAAAAAAATCACAGATATGTTTGATAATTACTCCAAACGATATACCAAATTCTTGGGTTATGTAAAAGCTATAATTAAATAATAGAAATTAATTAATTTGTTTAGAGGTAGGCAGTTATGCTGCCATCTCGTATTAAATTTAATAATTATAATTAGTTAATTTTTAATTCAAACATTTCTAAAATTTAATTTGGAATTGGTAATTAAATTTAATACGAGATGGCAGCATAACTGCCTACCTCTAGTCAAATTAATTAATTTCTAATATTTAATTATAGCTTTTACATAGCCCAAGAATTTGGCATATCGTTCAGGGTGTTTTTTATGGCCGGATGGCCGAGCGGTCAAGGTGGCAGCCTACCGCTCTGGGGGACCTGGGTTCGAATCCATACGGGTCGAAAAATCCCCAGGAATTTATCGGGGGTGGTCCGTTCGGATATGTCGGGCCCCGCCTCTCACCACCCGGCAGCCCATTGTGGGTCTGGCCCATAATGGGGCTGCCCATAATGGACTTGCAGTAATAGGCCCTCTTAGTGCCCACAGGACGGAAAGAGTTAAAAAAAAGTGTTTTTTATATAACGGGCTATGGTTGTCGATGTTTAAAAGTAAAAGTAATATGTGTGAACACAAGTTTGGAAAAATACGTGATCACAAGCGACACTAAGATGCTAGGAGAACGAGTGCTAAACACAGACTGATGAAGCATGCGCACAATTCGGGACTTTCCATCTTCTCGTCACTTGCTATGCGAAACATCGCTCGTTAAGCGAGGAAATTTTTAGAATTTGTTTTGCTCGTTATGCGAAATACTCGTTATGATAGGTGCTCATTAAGCGAGATTCCACTGTAACGTTAAAATCGGTCGATGGTTTATCGAGTCATCGTCGTTTTTTAAAAAGTGATTCTGATTGATTTCACTTTTTAAAGTCTTTCATTAAATCGTCCGACCAGTTAATTTCGGTGCAATATTGAAATTATGTCGCATCTTATAATATAATCGAAATGGATTGATAATAATAATAATAATGATAATAATAATAAGCTCAGAGTCCAAACGGTTAGGAGTTGAAAGTTTAAAATTTGGTAACAGTTAAGATGCAGTACAGTACATTATGAGAATGTATACACTAAGAAAGGATTTTTGAGAATTTCCCCGCGGGGAAAGGGAGAGGATTAACGATTACCCTGAAGAACTCTGCTTTTACTGTATTATTTTATATGAGGGTTTTTTTGCGTTTTGCAGGAAATCGAACATATTTTTAGACCCATCTAAAAATTCTCTAATTAACCACGGAAGAGACTGGACCTAATTGTTGCACTCGGTGAAAACGAGTAAGATCGGCTATGTGAGATAACTTTTGTAGTTATATAAACCAAATTCTATAATATAATACAATAGAAGGGTTAAAAGTACGAAATTAGCTAATCTTAATGTTCTTATTTCTTGCCCGGGCAACGCCGGGCTTGCTTATTTTTAAAATGTTATGCAAGTGTAATCGATTTAGTATAAAAATGTTTATTATATAGTAAATCCATTTAAAAGGACTGGAAAGGTTTTGGTCTTTTATATAAAACACAATGAAAGCTTTACGTAACTCTTGTATTTCAGAAGTTTATAGTTTGACATTTTAGAAATTCCTGGGAGAATAAAATATAAGTTATTATTACCGGCATAACATCTAAGAAGAAAATACATTATCGTAAGTATTTTCTAAATTGTAGCATACAAAGCTTTAAGCGCTGACTAATTTTTAAGTTCTTAAATTCTTACGTTCATCTTTGTACATGTACATATTATTGTTAGCAATAATATTACATAATTTATCGTAGCAATAATTTGTCTAGTATTACTGAAGTGATACACGATAGAGTAGATCATTGACAATAATTTTTCTCTTGATAAATGGTTGTCAAATTGTGATCTAAAGAAGATAAATAAAATAAAATAATACTTTATATTTTAATGATTTATATACGTTAACAAACTGAAAATATTCTTTTGAATCATGAGAAAATCATATTTTCTAACTTTCTAAAATTTAATTCATGAGGATATCTAATTTTCAGTTATATGCACACATTTTATAAATAATTAAAACAAATTTTTCAAATATAAACTGAAACTTGGGAATAATGTAATAATGAATTTCTTGTCTCAATTTTTATTAAAGTATTAAACTTTTTTTAATAAAATTTTGAAAATTTTTATTAGGTGAGCCAATTCAAAGACTCGCCTAATCAAACAAGNTTGTCTCAATTTTTATTAAAGTATTAAACTTTTTTTTTAATAAAATTTTGAAGATTTTTATTAGGTGAGCCAATTCAAAGACTCGCCTAATCAAACAAGGTTCGTATATTCGATATTTTGATTCACAATAACGTGACAAATTAGCATTAATTAAAATGACAAATTCAAACTTTAGCTTATTTTAAAAATTTAAATACGATTTAAAAGTGGAAGCTTCCTGAATTAATTTAAACCATGTTTACGTTTATGGCTGTACTGTATTCAAAGATAGTAGTCATTGATCGAATATATTAAGTGCAAAATGTCACGCAAAATCAAAAATTTATTTTGAATTTCCGTTTCTAAAAACTTTATTTATTTATTT